TGAAGTGTGTTGCAGCTGAAGACTGGTGAGTACTGCAGTCTGCTTCAGCAGCCAGGGTTGAGGGCAGTCGACAAGAAGCCATCAAGGAAGGTGAGGGCCAGCAGGTCCAGGATTCCAAGACAGATGCCTGGAACCAGCCTCTGAAGATTCATACCACAAAACCAGTGAAATTTGTGCGGGAGGGCAGTACTGCCATGGAGAGAGTGGGGGAAGAATAATAGCAACAGTGGTGCCTTGGCATTATATAGAAAAGAGAGAAATTGATTAATTAAATTCCCAATTGATAACTGGAAACCGGAAAAAGGGCATCAGAAACGAGCAGCAAGCCCTGGAAAGCCTGGAATACTGTCAGCCTTCATGAGAATTCTTCAGTTTCCAAGGGCAAATGCCAGTCAAATGACACTGCAGTACAGTGGTTATAACATTAATATGATCAAATGTTTTTTATTACTTTATGTTTTTTTCATTAATCTTTATTATATCAGATCTAACCATTACGTTCCTGAATTTTTTTAGGATAATACTTTTCATTGCCTTGGTGATTATGTAGGGTTGTTTACTTTCTAGGTATCATGCAATAAAAAATAATACTTTTTCTTGCATCTTTTTCTACCTTGCAGTCCACTGATTCCTTTTTCCCAGCACTTGCCACCGGATGTTGTTTTTGCAGTACCGAAGTAAGTCACGTCACAGATTTCTGCTTCTTTCTGCTTTGGTCCTTGAAACATAAAAATGTAATGCCTTGAAACTTCATATTTGTCCCTCAGAGAATATGACACAATGGCTTTGCAGTCAGAGCTGATCACATCTTACTGTAGATCCTAGGTTACACTCTGGTCTGGAGTTTGCATGTTCTCCCTTGGTCTGTGTGAGCTTTTTCTACCAGTCCAAAAGCATGATATCTGAAGATAACTTGGCATCTCTAAGTTGTCCCCCAATTTTTTATGCACCTGGCAATTGGACTGGCATCATCATGTTGGTCCAGAGTCCAGAGTACCAGGTGGGTAAGGCTGCAGCACAGTATCAGCTTGGCCATTTAAAGAAAAAACAGCTACTGAAAACTGATGGATGAATTGAAGGAGGGGTGGTTGGGTGGGTGGATGGTTGTTGGATAGATGGGTAGTTGGGTGGATGCACGAGTGGGTTGGTGGTGGATAGGGAGATGGATAACATAAGACTTCCGGAAGATTTTGTTTCACTCAGCAGAACTCAGTGGACAGTGAACATAACCTTTCACTTGTTAAACAGTTAAACTGCTGTTTCATAAACCTAAATACAAATGGGGTAAAAGGAACTTCAGCACTATTGACAAATCTGTTTAAATCTTTTTTTGTGAAATACTGCAATTTTCTAAGTGCACTATCCTTGATGGCTGTAATTAAAAAACTAAAGAGTTAAATAGTAGGCTATTCATAGCAGGAGTGTGTAATAATACACATTGTTATGATGCTGTAGCCACAGTAAATGTAGGAGCTTATGCAGAACCTGGTCAAAAGCCAAACACTGTGGTTTAGCAAAAGCCAGTTGTACTTAGCCAAATCTTGTATCCTTAGTCGAAGTTGTGGCAGATCGAGAAGCCAAAGGACCAGGAAATCAATACTAAGATAGCGTATTATAGCAAGGGAAAAAGAGCTCCACTGGTAAATCAATACTGAGCACCATGATGATAGGAATGAAGCCTTAAATAGTCTGGTGCCAAGGTGACCAATTGGATAATTAACTAATACGTCTGCATTTATAAGAATTGGCGGAGGCTTGTGTCTGTTTATGTGTTACCAAGGTACTGTACTAATGAGTCGGCGTTTACAACAGGCTTATGTTGGATTATGTGTGGCCATGACACACATTCTGCTTTATTTAAACAATCATTTATTTTAATTCAATTTCTTTACATGTAGTATTGTGAATATTGTTGTGATATGTAGATAAAGCAAAGGCTAAAATATTTAAATGAATGTATAGTCAAGTGCTGCAAGATGCATAACCTTATTCTTTTTTTCCCAGAATTATTAAAAGGCTATTTAAATATCCATCAAAGCACTTTATTTCAAATTGTATTTCAATGGATAATATGCTTCACATTTTCATTTGATTTAGTGGCACTTATACATTTCTTATTGGTGCTGGTAATGAATAAAAGACTTCACTCAGTATCATAAACAATACTTTGATATGTACAGCCCTTCTTTGATTCAAGTCCAATGTAGAAAAGCTAATGCCTACTTTTGTGTATTCCAGAAGTGGTTATTCCAGTGCAGTGCTTGCTGGTGTAAACAACAAAAAACAAACGTATTCTTAATTTGCAGCATATTCAAAACCCAGCTTCCTTGATTTTAACCAAAATCCAAATGCATGAGTAATTTTACCAGTTTTAACTTCCTTGGAATGGCTTCCCATGTATTTCAGAATAAATTTAATCAATTAAAGTTTATTTATCAAATGCACAAAATAAACTTTGATTGGTCAATTGAATTTATTCTGAAATACGTGGGAAGCCATTCCAAGGAAGTTAAAACTGGTAATAAATTCAGGGTACTACTGTTCACCCTTCAAAGGCTGGAACAGTTAGGTTAATGACAACATCAGTGATCTTTTAACCCCATACATATTAAAGCAGCCTATGAAATTCTTCATATTCTAACCTTCTGTCACTTCCCAAAATGTGGCTCCGAACACTGGCAACACTGTGCTTTCTACACTGTTTACCCAGGACAGTGTAATAATACATATTAAATCTGACAAGTCAGTCAGCACGTTCAAATCCTATCTTGAAATTCACTTTAATGCTCTGTCTTTTACTTCTGTTATATTATGATATAATATATTTGATAATCATATTGTATAGAACCTTGAGATGGGCACCATGAAAGCAGCTATACTGTAGAAAATAAGGATTATTATTGATTCTTCCTGTACACATATGGTTTATGCGTAGGTTTCACTGTATGACATGAACCGCCTTCTTCTTCTGTAGAGCAGATCCATATGCAACATCTGACAGTGCACCAGGCAGACCTTCCACCCCTTTTGCACGTACAGTAGCTGTCCAAACAGACTACAGGGACAGTGAGGCCCAGACTGACCCCTACTCCCCTGAATATGTAATACGTCCAGGATCTGCTCCAAGACTTCTGACACTTGCCACGCTAACATGGGGTAAGAATGAACGAGACTGAATGAAGACAGGTTTGAAACAGAAGTAGGAGGACATTCAGCCCATCTAACCCTTTTGGTTGCTAGTATTTAATTGATCTGTGGCTTCTGTTTATTGAAGAATGTTCTGTTCTGTGGGCGTCTGAAGAAACAGTGGAACTTGTGAAAAACTGTGTTGGTGTTGGCATTCTCTCTCCACAGGCCGGGGCCTTCCCGCTGGCTTGGCGGAGGTGGAGATGATAGAACGGGCTCAAGCAAAGCGAGCCTGGGAAGCCACTCTGCCCCCATTAAATGATCTTTCCCAGCTGGACAAAAGAAGGAAGATGATGGACGAAAGGGAAAGAAAAGAGTGGGCATTCCGAGAAGAAGAAATAGAAAAGTAAGAATAAAAAAACAGTCTGAATATTACACTTTATATTGCCGAATACCAATTTTATAAGCAAACGTGATTTGTATAAAATTAAAAAAAAAATTTTGTATGAATAAAAAAAGTTTTGTATGAATTCCATTAATACTTTCAGCTGGTATCATTATCTTCAGTTCTTTACATTTAAAGCTATTAGAAAAATTACTTACATTAATATACAGTGGCTGTTCATGAGGTGAGGAAGCATCTGCCAGGAGTAATTTGTAAAGATATTCTTTACCCTAAGGGCTGTGAGAGTATGGAACAAGATACTCACCTTTGGCTTTCTTCAAGAAATAGCTGAATGAGATCGTCGGATCAATTATCTACAGTACTAACTACTGAATGGACTAGATGGGTCAAATGGCCTTCTCTCTGGCTTCTGTCTGCAGTCTTTCTGATGTTCTTATGTATCAGATCTTTAAATATCCTTTTAAATTGTTTTAAATGTTTAAATATTGCTTTCCAGGACTCCTTAGTGGCACATCCAATGGAGTGTAGGTTGAGATTTATGTTTCAAAAGTTAGAGCCTAGATTAAGTCACCACTAGCCATCTGCCTCCTTGATTTTCTAAGCGTCAGAGCACGATTTGCTCAGTGCTGCTGAAAGTTGGGGTGTGATTAGTTGGCAGTGCAATGATTCCCAGCAAAACAGCACACAGCTAGATATCTATTATCCCTGAGTCCTCATAGTTTTGTAATTAGTATTCCAAATCTCCATTATTGTGAATGAAGCCATTTCTCCATTTCATGCTACTGTATGCTGCAAATAAACCCCTGTCCACATTACTAGTTAACTATGTAAAATGGGGGAAAAAATTCCAGTTGCCCACACCAATTGCTAAAAGTTCTTTGTCATTATTTGGTTCTGGCAGTTGAAACTTGTTGTAATTTCCTGTAAAGCAAGTTCCACTCTTTCTGACAAGTTGCTAATGGTGGTATAACAAGTACATAATTAAATATCTTAAATTACACAGCAAACACAGTAATGCAGGAAGCCAACTTTACCACAGTCTCGGGGCTGGATCATAGGTTCACAGGTGCAGTCTGATCTGCACCTGATCTGCACAGGATCACCAGATTCAGAGATGTGTTGCCTGATGTGTTTACATATGTGGTCTTATCTCTGGGGTGCAAAAATGGAGAATGAACCGCTATAGTACATATGTACAACATGCTGTATATGTTATTTGTTGATTTAACAACACTTTATGAAACAGTTCATTGCTGATAATATGTGAAAGTTGCAGATATTTCTAAGTTATTTCAGTCTACTTTTTCCACTGAAAGAAATCTAATTCTACACAAATACACTTTTTGTCTCATTGGTATCACCATAAGGAAATGTAGCTAGCATTTCCAGTCTAAACAATCCTAGGTCTAGATTTAAAAAGCAAGTATGTGCCCCTCATCACCTTGAAAAACATCACATTAAATTATGCAACCGAACGTATATATAATTACAGTCAGTGTTCTTAAAAACACTGTCTGGAATGGCAAGTCTCAGAGTGCCATTGACAGTGACAAGTGTAGCTCTCACTTCCTAAACCTCCCTGCCATCATAAAGTTAAAGCTGTCAATGTTGTTTTTTGAGGGGTGTGTGCTTGTATGTGTCCTGAGCAGGCTGCAGGAGGCCCGACTGGGGGTCCTGATGAAGCTCCTCAAGCAGCGAGAAGAGGTGCAACAGGAGGCAGATGTCAAGCGCCTTGATGACCGCTTTGCACAGCACCAGCACAAGAAGGAAGCAAAACTGAAGAAGATACGCAACAATTACATCCAAGGTAAGCAGCAGGGCAAGCTGGCGAAATGATTTTGCAGGAAGCTTTGTTTTAATTGTGACTTTTAAACTATTTCAAAGTGAGGTCACAGTTTTAAACTGAGAAAATGTCTTTTCCTGTTTATATTCATTAGAATGGAAGTTTATCCCTAGTGGAAAATTATACCTTTACAGTTTAAATTTCCCGCTCCTAGCCATCAGAAAAATCACTGGGCAAAGGAAGAACGTTGAAGGAAAGCTACAAGGGAGAAACATCATTCAGGAGTTTGCTGACTATGGGTCACAAACCTACGCTCCTCTTTCTCGGATGGGCCTGTTTCCTGATCGAAATTCGGAACGATATGTAGTGAAAAACCAATTCCTCAATACTTATGAAGGTACGTTTAAATTTCGATTGTATCTGTCTGACGATGAGCCTCATGGATATATTATTGTGGGCAAATTTTTCATATGGAAAAAGAATGAGATTATATGCTTTTAGCTTTTCTTTTATTCTTGCGCTCTGTCGCCAATTTGTGGTCAAATTGCTTCCCTTTCTTTGGGTTTGGAATGCATATTCAAGAGAAATACCAGAATTACTAATGTGGCTGTCCTATCATATGTACTAATTTACAAATTCAAAAAAGTCTGTTTCAGTTTATATTAATTTTAATCAGAAACTCACATCTTCAAGACATTCATTTTTACTACTTGTGTAGACTTGTTCCCTAACAGGCTCATCAGCAGGCTTGATTCTTTAGCATAGTGTTACTTTCTTTCAAGCCCTGTCTCATTTGATCTCAAAGGCTTGCTGGAGCTGGAGGCATCACTACCAGATTATGTCACACAACCACGCTTGAAGGCTCCAAAACCCAAAAGCAGAAAAGGCCGCACTGCTCACCAGGAGAAAGAGTTGACAGAAATACACAAGGTAAGCTACAGAGGAATTAGTGTCTCCTCTCTTAAAACAACAAGTAACAAAACACACCACAGATACCACCCCATTACTTGGTATTAATATTTACCACATTATATCTAATTATGAATAAATAGTAGGTTATGTGCATGTAACAAAATGTTAATGTTATTAAAGGAGGCATATTAACTTTTACGAGCTTGAAACCTCAACAATATGTGGTTATGAGTCCATCTGGGTATCTGCTGTGCCACTCATTTAGCACTGAGATAGCAAGATCATGAGCTTTACATTTTTTTCCTAAGCTCATGTCTGTGCTTCTTGTACCTCTTCATTTAGACACTGATAGAGGAAAAGTCCAAAAGTAAGGAGAAGAAACCCTTGCGATTCCTCTATAAAATAGAGAAGCCAGCCCCTCGACCTCCAACTCCAGTTGTTGAAAGCCCGCCTGAGGTACAGTACAGTACTTTTCAATCCTCTGACAGAGAGCAGAGAGTTAGTGCACCGAAGAGCTTAACAGCAAACTAAATGATGTCTTCTAGATGGTTGGAATTTACCTGGAAGAGCTATTGCTTGTGTGTAATGATGTGTGTGGGTAGTTAGGCTGAAGTCTGCCTTTTTTGTAGATGTAATCTACTGTATATGAAAACATAAATAGGGTTACAAAAGAGCGAAGGCCTTTTGTCTGATCTAACTCCTTTGGTTGCTCGCACCTACATGTACAGTATATTAACTGAGAATTTCATCCTTCTTGAAAGAAGCCAGGGTATCAACTACAACAACATTGTTGGTTAGCTTTTTCCAGAATTCAAGAAACCTTTGTATAAAAAAAACTTTTTATTTTTTTAATGTTCTTCCGTATAGTTTCCACTTATGTCCTCTGGGTTGACTCTGGCTGTTTATTCTGAGGATTAAGGACAGGGTTGGCTTGATCAACCTTAGATACTAACTACAAAATCAGCTAGGTGGGACAAATGGCCTGCACTTGTTTGTTACCTGAAAATTGAAGGCCTGTGGACCAGTTCTGAAGTGGCAGTAAAGATATGATGTCATTGTTTCATCTTTTATAATTTCATTAGGGTGAGGAGGAGAAAGAATTGGCCATAATTTTCCTTCAGAAGCTTTTGCGAGGAAGAGCTATTCAAAATATGGTGAGTGGCTTTTGAACAGTTTTCATTCCACACAGAGTTTTTAATGTTTCCCATAAATTTTTTGCTTCATTGTTGTTTTTATATAACTGCATTTATTTTAGCAATTTGCTAATTTCATCTGCAAATATTGTCAACATGATGTCTACATTTCTAAAATTCTTATGTACTTTTAGAGGTTATTCATGAACCATCTTGTTTTTACTAGAAAAAGTGCCTGTTTAAAAGTCTGATGATAGTAAATGGCTTTGTAAATTGTAGCTTGAGAATATCACCTTTGACTATAGTGTCCTTAATTAATTTCAAGGATAAACATTTT